CTCTGTAATGTGGGAGTAGAGGATTTAAAACCCTGTACTATGGAGCTGTTTGCCAGATACTTAACTCCAGAATTAATGGTCTAATGATGCGTGGTCAGTTGTATCTTGTATAAGGCAAAATACGTAGACAATAAAGGTTAAATGGTGATTGTAAAATTGTGCTGTAGTACAGAGAGATATCTCTGAACTGATTGACTGACTTGCTGCTCTATGTACTGTCATTCTGTCTGCCTGGCTGACTGATGTGTTACTTTTTCTGATGGCCTGACTTACTAGCTGGCCTGATGGTCAGTCAACTGATCAATGTGTTTGTTGGTCTTTGTTACTGACTAACTCAGATTTTCCAATAATTGTGGCACTTAGACCACTAGTGGTCCAGGAGCTTCATTTGGGTGGTTTATGGAACAGCTGGAATAAGAAAATTAATAAAACCTGTAAACAAATAGTACAGAATTGCCAAGATACTTCTAGAGTAAATCAAGTACTGTACCAGCTTCTTTATCCTCATCTTTAGCATTGGTAGCACAGCACATTAAAATTATTAAAGAGCAAGCAAAAAAATCACTAAGTGGTCCATGAGGAACCTCAGCAGTTTTAAAGTGGACCAGGGGAAACAAAGTTTGGAAACTAGTAGACTGGTGCCTGATTTATATTTCTGATGTAGCCCCTTATTACAGGATTATCCCTTAGTTATTTACATGAGGCAGATAGAACAATTTTTATTTTTAATTGATATTTCTGTGTTTGAAGGCTGACAAAAGAACATTCTACATTGATCCCTATATTTTGTATTTCACAAATTTTTCAGGCATAATTGCAGGATGCAAAATGAAATGTGATGACCAGCCATGTAAGAATCAAGGACTCTGCATAGAGGACTTCCAAAAGCAAGAAGTGACCTGTAACTGCGAGCGCACATCTTTCTATGGAGACTTTTGTGATGAAGGTATATGTTGGGGACACTGAGGTTGTTTCAGGGTGAAATCAATGAAAATGAGATGGGCCAGGCATTTAGCACACATGAGAATGTTAAGAAATGTGTAACAAATTTTTGTTGGAAAACCTGAAGGGAAGAGACCAGTTGAGAGACCTGAACATACAGAAGAATAATGTTAAAATGGATAAGGCTATAGGGTGGGAGGGTGCTGACTGATTTATCTTGCTCAGAAAGTGCCAGATGGCTGAGTTTTGTGAACTTGATAATGGATCTGCAAAAACTTGGTATGAGAGCATTAAACTGCCTAGTTAGTAACTTGACTTTTGGATATTAATATAGCCTTATTAGTGTTCTTTGTGTATGTTCCTAAAACATAATATCAACATGATAATTAATTTTTATTTGCAGAGAAGGGTGCAGATTTTAGTGGTGATACAATGCTGCAACGAAAATTTATTCTAAATGGATCTGTAGACCAGATTAGTGTGCACCTTGCTTTCTCGAGCACTGATATTCGGCAGAGAAATACAGTGTTGCTGTTGCTGCAGACAGAAAATAAGTGAGTTGACCCCTTATGAATGACATAACCTGTTCTGGTGTAGATGTTAAGAGAGCTTTATGTCGCAGTTTGTTTCTGTTAGTGGTAATGTTCCATCAAACATGCAACATCCAATGTAAGTCTGTATTATTAAAACATCAACTTCTTACTAAAAACATTATTGATGTGACTATGAGTTATACACAACTTGTTTAACCAAACTGACCGTTTTCAGGTGTTAAGATTTAGAACTTAAAAAGCAAGTACATTTGGTATATAAAATTACACGTGGCTTATACTATAATGGGCACAGGAAGCAAAGAATAAAAATATGGTAAAATTGTAAAAGACATGCACTATGATACAGAAATGTGAGTATAATAAAAATGCTATGCAGAACTATAATCTTCATAATGTTGTACATGTGTGGGCTTACTGTTGTGGCTAGTCATACTTATGTATTTGATAAAACCCTAATTCAGTAATAATGGTTGAGGAATACATGAGTGTACCAAAAATAAAGTGAGCAATTATATGATGTAGTCCCAAATGGTAGAAATACAACAGAAGATGGGCACCTAGATGCAAGTTCCAAGTAGAGTGGTCCCCCAGGTTTGTATGCCAGGAACACAATTAACTAACCATCTAACTAGATGGCTTAGGGAACCACCACCAAATTAACCAAAGTCCTCCACCAGTCCCTGTCCTCCAGGAATACAATTAATGGCTAATAATACAACAAATAAATAGAAACATTCTGGTATTTGGATGATTTGCTGGGCAGAAGGAAAAGAATTATACCAGTTCTGTCCATCTCCTGTGGTATGTGTAGCTCAGTAGGAAGCATTGGTTCAGATTTTCTTACAACTTTATGTAACATGTGATTGTGCATTCTATCAAATAATTTTATTGCAGTGATATGGAAATCATGTAAGTAAGAACATATCAGAATTAAAGATTCAATTCAGACTATCTGTTAAGATTAAAATATTTGGGCCTGGTGCAGAACTCGGTAGCTTGTACAGATTTATGGCAGATATAGAGTACAAATCAAATGAACAGTCTATATAATGTGTAAAATTTTATTTTGTGCAGGCAGAGCTACTATCTGCTTGTGGCATTGACAAGTGAAGGAGGACTGATATTTGAGGAAGATAGAGAAGGTTCAGCATCTGGTGCCCGAGTGTCTGATCGGAATTTTCTGAATGGAGCAAGACATTCTATCTACTACCACAGAGAGGGTGACCGTGCTGTGTTATTGGTAAGGCACTTGCCGAAATTGATTTATTTTATTTTAGCTTTACCTGCCAGCTAGATTTTAACTACAGGGTTTACTGGTTTAGTGGTATGCTAGTGACATGCAACTGGCTAGACTGTTCATAAGCCATGATACATTGTAGATAAATGTTAGGCTAAGAATCATTGAAGTCACTAAGAGTGAAATGTGTTTTGAAATTGATGATCATTTTGATTGCAGATTGACCGTGAACATGTAATGCTTACGCCCATCTCTTTCCTAAGTCATTCTGATGTCCCAGAGGGGGATCAGGGAGCCAATGAGGTTCAGGTGGGAGGGCTTAACACCAGTGATCCACGCTTTGCAGTCTATAAAAACTACAAAGGTTGCTTGTCAAGTAAGTGGGTTTGTAAGACTTGAAGTCCTAGTTTGTCTGCTTTATGACATTCTCTATCATGTAGTTGTTAGAGGTAGCTGGTAATTTTTAAGATTCTTTACACAAAATGCATGAAAAGAATATAATGGTGGCGTCATGGTCATCTGTCTGTTTATGTAACTATCTATTTCATCACTGAATCTATTGAATTTGCAGTGATGACATTTGGGTTTGGAGAGTCTACACCAAAGTTGTTTCATGAGTTTATATTAAAATAATATGATTGTCTTTGAAGCCTCAGATTGAACATCTCAGTTATGTAAAGTTGGTATATGGCATAAAATATATATCTCATTAAGTTATGAAACTGTTATTAGAACATTTGTGTATGGTGTATATTTAAAATGTATAAGGAAAATTATTCATGGCTGTGTGTAGTGTTGAATGGTTTGTGTCTGTTCATTAAGCTTGTGCTAATATTGTGTGGTCAGTGGGCATAGCTTGATTTATTGGATTTGTATTAGAAGAGTTAAATGTTTGAGTCTGTAAAATATTTTAGGCATCTTGATTTATTATCAGTATGTGATTTTCTGTATCTCTCAGATGTTTATGTGGAAGTGAACTCTGATGTAATGAAACCCTTGGAAGAATACATGCTCTTCACCAAGATGGGCAGCGAGAAGGTGAATGTGACGAACCCATTGGGAGTGAGAAGTGCGCAGTGTGCATTTTTTGACGTGAGCCATAAGCCTAAACCAAGCCCATCACTAAATATCAGTCTGGTGAGTGGTGAATATTAGACAGCCATGAATTTGGTTGATAGACAAATATTTCTAGGGTCGTTGGCATAGCAAAATGAAAGTATTTCAGTCTATGATATCACGTATGTGTCTGTATAGATCTCTAAGTTGTGTGGTAACATGTTACAAAGACATCTGGTAGTGATACAAATGGCACAAAAACTTTCACTAAACCTTTTGAACCCTAAAGAACATTGTGCCTATTGTGAATACTTTCCAGTGTTTATTAATGTTAAAGGTGTACAATTTGATACTCTTATTGTATATGTGCTTTTTCATAAAATATTACATTGTCCGGCCAAAACAGTAATAAGATTTTTAAATATTTAGCATTATCATTAAACAAAATGGTGTGTGAGTACCAGTTTGTTACGTGAAATACTGTCACAGGGTTATGATGTATTGTGCAACTTATGAGTTATTATTTATTACCACTTATTTATTCCACATAGGTTTTCTCAGGATAATTTCTTGCACCATTGTAAATGAAGTATTACATACCTTATCAGATGGTGGCACCAAGAACATGCCTGCTGTTGTTTTGTTTCATGTGAAATAAAAATCAATTCTGTAACTTGTCTGTGCAATATCTGATGCTTGGTTCCTTGGTAAAATGTTAGTAATGAAAACTGAGAAAAATGTTCTGTTAAGTTATGGAAACCATGCAAGGGAAATTTTGTACTGTCAGTAATGAAGTGTAACTGATGGTGATGTGTTTAGTTCTTATCTTGTATCAATCCTTTTGTAGTGAAACCAGTGGTCTCCGATCATCTTTCATGAAGTCTAGTGTATCATGTCACAGAATGAGTTGAAATATTTTAAAATCATCATCACACACTGAGTTGTTCATGACAAAGTCTTCTCTGTCCTCCAGCAAATGCTCCATTTGTACATACTCACTCTTCTCTGCTTTCTCTTGCATATCTTCTCTCTTGGCTTTCTGCCTTATACCTTGCCTTCCTTTTTCTTCTGCTTCCTCCCAAGACATTTCCACTTAGGTGGGTCATCTGACAGTCAAGCTTCTCGCTGTTTGTCCATAATGATACTTGTTTGTTGCTGTTCGTATATGCTCATGTCAGTGTATCCTTAATTCCAGCAAGTGTTCCCATTTTGCCTAATGTCCTGGATTTGAATTGTATCTCTTCTTTTTGTTTATTAATACTCTTAAAAAAAGCAGACTTTTCAAATGTTTGCTCTAAAGTGATGCTAAACCCCATGCAGAGATAGCATTTATTGGTTAGTGTACCAGTGGTACCTACAGATGTTGGAACTGCTGCATTCCATTTTTTGTTATCCAGGGTACAGACAAAACTTGGATTTTGGATCCTCCAGTTAAAATTCCCTATGAAACGCTGTGGTCTGATTTGTCCAGAGAGGAAGATGAGTCAACAAGAGGTGAGTAGCAAGAGGCAACATACTTACCTGTAGCAGTTTTCTTATGACCCAAAACATCTTCATTTGACATTTATTTCTGTTCTACATTAGTCTTTATGTCTATAAACCCTGTATACTTTCATGGACACTAAGATAATAAGAATTTTGTTTCAATAGTTTGGTTCTTTGATTGTTGAATGATGCTTTTTCAGTTGCATAATACTGAATGGTGATATTGGAAGGACATGAAAAAGAAGCATTTGTGGTAGATATGATGATACTGTTGTAGGGTCTGTCTGCAGGGACTGAGGAAAACAATGTAAAATATCAGCCAGACTGGAGACTAGTTTAAAATTCAGGACCTAACAAATATGATGCAAGTATTTTGAGCACTCAAAAACAGCACATCATATTGGTTTTCCGGCTTGAACTGTGTTATTGTGTTGTAGGGAACACAGCCATATCAAGTTCAAGTTCAAGCTTGTGCTTGCTTTTGCAGTGGTGAAGGCGTTAATTTCTGAAGTTGGGGCATCTATGGGGTAAATTGATTTTACCCATAGTGGTGGAATAGTGAGGATGATGACCAGAAGAGCAGATCTTCAGCTTAATGTTACAACTGAGTCACTGGAAGCTTGGTTTTCAGAAATGTTTTGTTTTTCTGAGATAAAGGAATAGCTTAAACTGGATTGTACTGGTCTTAAATGGAAGGCCGTAAAACAAGAAAAATGTAGTGACTTATACTAGACCTCCATGTGCCCACTGTTTTGGTAGAGTTGATAAGGACTGAAAATAATTTATTGAAGTTCAGTATATTTAATGGTTGCAAAATGTGAGTTTCCACAATGGTTTTCAGTGTATGTAGTATTGCCACTGAAGAAAATTATTTGCTTTTGCTTGGTAAAAATGTGTTTAATCATGGTTTGTGTCAACACAGAATTTTTTGTCAAATGGCCTTACACCAGCAAGCACCATTAGATGACTTTCTTTAACTCCAATTCTGTTCGTGCAACATCCTCCAACACTTCTCACTTTTAGAGTAGTTGATTACATTTCATATGCATATTATTATCTGTAACATATTGCTGTCCAATGTAGGAAGCAGACTGCTTTCATTATAAGACTGTAGGTAATTAATCCTCATGTTCCCCAAACTCTATTTTCACCATCGTTTCTCAGCACTCTTTAATTGGGGTAGCCAAAAATGGCATCTTCTACCAATGTAATCCTCATATGTACCAAGGATATGTTTTCTTTGTTCCAGTGATCTTTATTGTGATGTGTGGTGTGTTTGTGATCATTATGTTGGGTTCATTGTGTGAAGTCTACCGGGTGTATCGCAAACATAAAAGGAGACAAGAGGAGGAAGAGGAGGAGGCAGATGCATCAATAATGTGGCACCGCAGTGGACAGCCTGTGAAGTTTCAGGAACAACCGGTCAACTCCAATATCAAGATGACAGCATACAAGAATGTGAGTTGGGCATAATGATTAACATAGTACCATTAACCACTTATTGGTGTTTATTGATCCAATGAAATTTGATTGAATTTCAACTATCAATAAATATTTTAATATGGGTTGCATGACTTTCCAGTCATCGCCCTGATGACGGAGGCAGTATGACCTCTGAAACGTTGGTTAACATCGACCAGACTACACAGCGCAATAACCCAGAAGACAGAAATCTTCACTTTCCAGTCACTCTGTAGAGTGCATGGTACTTGTAGAAAAGACACAAATATGTTATGTCATTTAGAACAGCAAGCTGTGACCTATTTTATAAATGTTGTCTGCTGTTGAAAACCTATTGAGAAATGTAGGTATAGATGGGAGGGTAATATTAATATGGATCTTAAGAGACATAATGTGTGGAGGTGTAGACTGAATTCAGTGAGGTCTGGATAGGATTCAGTGATGGCCTTTTTTGAAGTGATAATGAACCTTACACTCCATAAAAGTGTATACTTTCTTGACCAGATGAGCAATTGAAGATGGCTGTCTTCTGGATTGTTGTGCTGTGTAGTCTAGTAGAAGTTTACCGATGTTGGCAACTTCCTACCAGAATACATGACACAACAACTCAGAAGACAGCCATCTTCAGACACACCGCTGTGAAAACCTTGAATCCTACACAGATGAGCAATTAATCAGCTTCCAAGAATGACTGTACAACATGTAGATAGTCTGTTAGTTGGCTGTTGCAAGTAACTTAAATAACTGTTACATTACTGTGTACTGCACCGTTCACATGTGTTTCAGATCCCACAACAAGATGTAAAACTTAAACCTTCTGTAAACAGTTCAGAACAGAAGCCTAACATAAAGAATGACTACAAACAAATACCAAATTCAGCATCAGCCAATGGACAACATGATACAGTAAAGCCAAACAGCATCAACATCAAACACAATAGTGGTAATGTACTTTTCTATGCATCACGAGACAAAAATTGTTGTTAGTTGTTTTTAGAATCTGTACTATATGATTTATTAGCTCTCTTGCCATTTGTGTGACTTTGAAGATTGATTTATTATTGAGTTATTTTATAGCACTCTTTCAACTACATAGGTTATATAGTGTTATACAATATGGAAAGATGGTAGTGAATAGTGCATAGGTAATGATTTCAAAGTTGGTGTTCATAGCCTGTTAGAATATTCATTTATGAAATGTGCTTGGAGAGGCTGAGTAAAACATGGGAATCTTACTCAGGATATCAAACTGCATAACTAAAATAAATTTGAACTGGTTCTAGATCATTACTGCTACACCAACCTGCTTGATACCAGACATAAACAAAACTATGTCATTGTGTGTACTTGTATGTGCATAACATCAAAGGGTTAATATTAATAGTGTTGTCAGCATCAGTTTACTTGTCATACTAGCCTCCCTCTGTCCTGGCTCACCTTCTCTAAATTATGTGGATAATACCTGCTAATGTAATTATGTTGAAAGTAATGCCTCCAGCGAACTTTCTTCCCCCCTCTCTTTCTCCCCCTCTCCTCACTTTGTCATTTCCTAAATGAACCAATCTGTGTCCCCAGCTCTTGTCTCTTCTATCTTGAAGGTGTAGGTAGTTTTTTTCCCTAAATATTAGAAGGTTCTTCTTTATTACTTCCTGGGAGATGTCATCTTGAGAACTCACATCTAATTTGTATTGTTCATCAGTTTGCTCATCTCATTTTGTTGTGATGTATTAAATTTCAGGGGCCAACCCAGATCAGGAACTGAACTGGGATCCCATGGCAGAAAAGACTGAATTACTTCCAGAAGTAAGTCAGTGAGTGTGACTGTACTGCTATGAGTTTGAAGCATGTAATGCAGAAAGGGCTTAGCTCCAAAGAAGAGGCTCATAACACACTGTAATAAAGAAAGCGATTCTTTATTACAGTGTGTTTTATAAAAACTATCTTTTAGGAAGAAATAATGCCAAGTTGGTTAATAGATTTTAAATCAGTGCAACTGCATAGGTTGTTCAAACCTGTCGTGACAATTAAAAAAAATAAACTTCATTTTAACCTTATTAATATAAATGTTGATAATAACAAATCCTCTATGCTGGATGTAATAGTTATACTTCTGTAATTTTTTTGCTAGAGCCTTATGTGACAAATCATGATGTCCCCTGATGAGGTGAGGCTGGCATTAAAGTAGCGAAGCCTTTATGAGACGTATAAATTTGTGAAGCCTGTTACTCTGTGGGAAGAACATGGACTGAAAATGTTTTTGAACAAAGTGCTGAGGAGAAAATTTGTACATATGAAGATGCTGTAGCAGGAGAGCTGAGCTAATGACATATGAGGAGCTTTGTATTCTTTACTTAATATTAGTATAATTGGATTGACGAGGGTTATGAGAAATGCATGAAAAGTTTTAGTTAGATAACTTTTGAGGAACAGACAACTTTGAAGACCTAGGCATATATGGAAGGATAATATAAAGTATTCACTTGTTTTCCACAAATGGTGCCACATCCTTTCCCTGTACCCTTGATTATTTGTATAGTCATGTATAAACAATCTGTGTGGTGTTGCAGTCACTAGAGGACATCTCAGAGAGCATAAACAACAATGCTGATGGGGAACGGGAGAGTGAACGGGAAGATGACGACATTTTGAACAAGCCAGTGAGTATGAATAATGCGAAACTGGCTCCGCTTGGCTCTATTAGTGAGGTTTCACTGGATACCTATGGCTGAACAGTGTTCTCTATGTGGCTGCCTGTATAGAGAATTTAATACTGAATCACAGAAATTCAAAATTTCATAGCAAAATGGTAACACAGGAAGTGGTTTTATGATTTTTGTTCACACTGAAGCTTTCACATAGCTTCTGGGAAGAAATTATAATTTAAAGTAGTATGTGCAAATTTGAGTCTCTGTGTGACAATAACTATAACTTTCTGACCTTGGAATCAAACTTTCTGACATTTCATATTAGTTAAAAATTTTACCATTCATATTTAATAATTTTAATGATGTGAAATGCTGAATTTGTATGATTCGTTATGAAATTCCATGTAATTATACCCGCTTCAAAAAATCAAGAGTAGATAGAAGAAGAAGGAAATTAGTAAGAGTTGTAGTTCAACTTGATGCTGCTGGACATATGTATTTCAAGATTGCCAAAGGTTCTGGCTTTTTAAACTGCCAGGTCAAAGCAGAACTCTGAAACAGTACAAGTCCAGTTATTTTAACTGAAAGTAATATTATTTAAATTACCATCTTGATTTTGAAGGTGGGGTGTTTTATGACAAAACCTACTCCAGTCTTATCTATTCTTCCATAAGCATCCCTATTGTATCAATGTGCATTCTTTAGTTGATATTTTTTATACGGGTTTACAACTAATGTCTGTCTGTCTCTATATGATTTGAGAATTTCTGAATGGGTTTTTATGAAATTTTATATTATACTTTGTCAGCATATTCCAGCTTTGATTAAAATCAAACAATGATATTGGGTACTTGACTTAATGACATACATGTGTTTTTATGTGTGGAATTGACAATGGTTAATTCCTGCATGGGAGATTGCAAAGGAGAAGGTATCATCTTCTAGACAGGTACCAGATACCCGACCCACACAAAGGTGACTGAACTTTAAAGTTGCTGGTGTTGTTTGCAATGGTCAAAGGTCAGTTCTGGTGAACATGCCAGAATGTTTAGGAATACTATTGTAATCTATGCCATTGTATCCTTTCTGGTTACATTTTTCAGTATTCCATAGGTACTTTGTCCCTACCTCTTTTAAGCTGCTAATATGTCTCATTATTTATATCTAAATTCTTGCTCCATTTGTCAAAATAGGGAAGCACTGTTACTATGTTTTATACAACTGAGCTTTCCTGAAATTTCCAAATTGCCAGTGATATCTCATATCAGTTCTGTAAAATACCCCAGCACTATAAATAGCTTCTCTTTTGAAGGATTTGAGGTTCTCATGATGGTCACTACAAAGATGGCTGTCTTCTGGGTTGTGCCATGTAGCCTGGCAGAAGTTCACAACCATTTTAGAGGTTGTTTCTGCCTCCATCAGCAGACAGCAAGGATCTATGAAATGCTGGTAATCTTCAGCTAGACTACATGGTGCTACAACCCAGAAGACAGCCATTTTTGTAACTTCTTCTTTTTCTTCTTGTTATTTCTCTGTTTCCCATGGAAATGTGTGGAACACACTCAAAATTGTTTCTGAAAATTTCTGAATGTAAATTGATCAGAACTGTGTTGGTAGAACTGTGCTTACTGGAAATATACTGTATTTCCTGGCAAGAGTGAGGTCATATCTTATATTTTTTATTTGTGTGTACACACTTGTTTACACATACATATGTAAATATATCCGTGTTACACATCTTAAAAATTGTGAAAATACCAGAAATTTGAAGAAAATTTAAAAATTGATTTTACTTGTATTTAAGTCTTCAGGTTTTTACAGGAGTTTGTTCAGCCTTTGTGTTTTTGGGTTATAACAGATTATGTCAGTGTTCTTGGTTGTGATGCCATGTGGACCACTCTGGGGTATACACTAATGTTCTGGAGAAACATTGTCTCATTGTTCAAACCTGAAGATGGAGACAGTATGTTTCTCTGAAACGTTGGTATCTACCTGTGAGTCCACACAGCATCACAACCAGTAAGAACAATATTAGCATCTTCATCGCTGTGAGAACCTCTAATCTCACAAGAGAGAATTATGCTTTAATGCATGGTAGACGAGTGGCATCACACATTAGGTTTCTTTATTGACTATCTGTTCATTGTTTGATCACAAATGTAAAAACAGTGAACTGCACATTTTTATTGGTACTAAATGTGACTTACATGGTTTTTGTCTTGGTGTATTTTTATGTAGGATGTAGTTATTTTGATTTTTGAGGATTGACTGAGACAGAACTACATTTAGTTTACCCCTGAATTTCTTTAAGTTCACTCTTAAAGCGAGCCTTTAAATCTTCTACATGGTTTAGCATTAATATTTATAATATTTCTGTTAGTTTCTATATGTACATATTATGGCTGCTATACAATGGACAGTTATTAAGTCAATTCAGGAGAGGTTGTTAACTGAATGCTTGATTAAACTGAAACAGTGTCATTGTACAATTTATACAATGATATTGTGTTATCCATATTGAAAATTTATTTAAAGATATGTGCTTGTCTACTTTTACTTTTAACTGCCCCATGTAAAAGAGATTTGAATTTGAACAGAATTTAGTTTTGATATTGTGCATATGCAGAATTGGAGTAATAATACTCTGAAATGGGACCAATATGAGACTGTTATTTGACAAATGGATAAACTATTCATTCTCTGTAAATAAATTTCTGTTGAAGGTTTTGATATGAAAGGATGCAGCTCCATTTTTATAAAGTTGTGGGAAAATCTATATAGTTTATATAAATGTATGCATGTGAAAGAGCACCTCAGATGTATTTATTCAGCAAGAACAGTTTTCATGGCTCTGAAGTGGAGCAGCACAAGGAGCCCATTGTCTTTTCATGGCATGGATATTGGAATTGGAGATTGTTACATGTTTGGGTAAATATAGTATCCTGAGTTAGTGTTATACCATTACATTGAACTGTACTAAGGCCTGTTGGTCTAGAAAATGAACTACCTAGTTGGGCAGAAGTCAGGAAGGTTGGTAAAAACTGTAATTAGAGCCATTGGCCTTAGCAGATCACTCATAATTCATAATTAGTTACAATAATTAGACATTTTGCCTTTAAACTTCAGAAAGTCAATTGAAAGAAAACCAGATTGAAGTTTGTGAAGACAACAGATTTGATCTCTTTGCTGTTGCATATCTGATTTACTTAATTAGATAAATTGAAGGGCTGTCAGTCTGAGTCGTAGGTTTATTGAGTTTAGAGCCACGAGTAAAAAGATTGGCAAACCTGTCATAGAAGTGTCTTAACAGCTCCACTTAAAACAGTATTCCACAATATAAAGGTATTTATAATAAAAATTAATAGTGTAAGAATTAGGTATAATATAATATCACTTAAGTCGATAAGTATTGTGTTCAACATGTAGCTGTTTTACTGCATATTGAAACTGATCACTGGGCATGTGATACCTCAATAGTCTAGTTTATATGTAATACAAACACTGTACTTAACTGATGGTCATATGAAGTACTGTAACTCTTCCAGATCTTGAGCACACAGTTGTGCAGGCCAGGGCAGTATTTGTGCTCATATCTCATCACACCTGGGTATTTGAATCCTGTACTGCACAAATATGTTAAAACTCTTTAGAATCCATTTTTTCTACAGGAAAGCATCAAATGCTGGAATCAAAAATAAAAACACAAATGAAAAGAATAATAATATATTTTAAATATTCTACAGATTTTTATTTTTTGTAAAATTATAGTTTCTAAAAATGTATACATTACTGATAACTTGGATCTGAAAGGGTTAGTGTTATATCCAATGTTAAGAAATGTAGAAGAACTGAGGTCCAATAGCAATTGTCATAAATACTGATTGAAGTACAGAATGATCAAAATGTTACACAATCTACAATAAATGCAATTTTTTTAGTTACCATAACATATTCTTAATTTACCATCGTTTTCCATATGATTTCAGTATACACACTTCCAAAACATCTTGAATGTGATCCCACCTTTTTTGCAGCATGAACATTTGTTCTTGTTCAAATACAAAGCACTGACCTGTATCCATTATGGCAGAGTATACAGTGCATTTGTTCCCTGATAAATTGGAATGCAGCTGTCACTTCCCAACTCCTAATGGGAACTGCATGGCTCACTGTCAAGTGCTAACAGCAGCTGCCACTAAAATTATTCACACAACAGTGCAACTGTGTCTTCCATCATATGTGAATATGGTTTGATATACTATTGAATGACATGTTTTTCTGTGTGAAACATATGAAATGTGATTCCAGTAGAAAGTGTCAGAGAAAATATAAATTTGCCAGGATCACAGTTCCAAACACAAGTATCCATGAAGTTACTGACGAAGTCAGGTCTAGTGGGTCACTTCTGGACAAGAAACTTGCTAAAAAATACCCTGTGCCCACTGAAGATGTACTAGACGAGATGAGGGGTAGATTAGAACATACACCACAGAAATCATTGAATTCAAGACACTGGTATCTCAAAATTGTGAACAAGCAACATACCAGTGAATTTCAATCTTTTTAAAAGTTAAAGAGTGTGTGTGAACAGGGACATCATTTTCAGCATCTTTATGAAGGAGAAAAGTTAATTTTATTGTTTTTGTGGAGTGATACTTGACTTATACCAGGAAAATCTTGTAGCACTTGGCAGTGATTCATGCAGTTCCTGCCAGGAGACAGAAAGTAATAGTTGTGTCCCAGTTTATCAGCGAATTTACTGTATAACACTGGTGCTTTAAATAAACACGAGTTGGTGGTAGAAGATTTACACATGTCTACTGATACAGGTGGTGGGCAGTTCAAGAGCTGCAATGTCTAAATACTTTATATTTTTCTCAATAGAATGTAGATCCATACTAAGGGGTTGTGTGTATTCTTGATCATTCTTTATAAATTAATTATATTGTAAGCATTGAACATAATGTAGTATTTATTATGTTAATTTATGAAATAGCCATAATTAAGCTATA